GTTATAATTTCTACAACTTCTTCACTTCTTCTTTTCATCATTTCCACTGACCAAAATCTTAAGCTATTAAACTTTTAATTTTGTCCTATCTCAACAATTTACAATTATATTTTTAAAAAATATCAGATTAAAAAAAAATCTAAAATATCACAAGATCTATCTGTCTAAATATAATATTATAGAAACTTTACATGTATAAAAGTCATGGGGAGGGGATGTAGCAAACACACATATTTTCAGCTGACAAGACTTTTATATGTGCTCTAAATTTCATTTGGATCTATGCTTTCTTTAGAAAAATATCTGCTTATTGAGTGTTTTATATCTGAATGACAATTGATTATGTGTTTAATTAAGTCTGGTAATCTATGTACATGCTGCATGCTTTGTATTTCCTTGTTGTGTCTTGGATTTAAATCAGCAGTTATCATAAAATGAATAAATTGCATGTGCAAGAAAGAGACAGACAGCACACACTAGAGTATATGGAAGAAGGTACAAAGCCACAAAGGAGAGAATATAAAATATATATACAGTATTCTCAGAGAATATAATATATAAATCCTGAAAAGAAAAGGAAATGTAATACTTGGATCAACATCTACTTCTTTGATACTCAGATGCAGTTTGACTTGGGATTAAATAGTACCTATGCTTATGATTAATGACCAATTTTCTAACATGCCATCAATGTATCTCATAACAAGATCAATCTGTGACTCACTAGCCATGATTGGTTGACTACTAGGATCTTTAAAAAGCCTCTTGGTTTTGCTTCCTGTCTGAGAATGCAAAAATTTGGGATTTGTCAGACACTTTTCAAGCCACAATAATTCTCTGCTGGGCCGCATTCAAGTTTTGCAGGTCTGTCAAATATAAATATGCAGGTATATGTGTAATAACATGCATCATAATTTTAGCAATAATCTACATAGAATTAAGCCTCTTTGTTTTCAGTGGGCCTTATTCCAAAGTTTAAGATACCTTATAAATATCTAGCTTTCATTCACACCGTAAGATGTCAATTTTCAAGGTTAATTGTGGAACTTTAATGTCAGTAAACTATATGGAAGCAGAAAGTGCTAAAAAGATGTATTTCGATAATTTAGATTTATTGGCTTAGAAAAGTCCAGAAGTTTTCAAAACTGTATACTTTCAGATAAATGTTTTAGGCCATTTGCATAAACCTCTTCAAAATCCAGGTGATTCTGGGATATGTTCTGGGAATGCAATCTTCGATTACTGTTATTTCCTTCATTCTACTAAGCTGTGCTGTAAAGCTTTGTAGAGGAAGATCAGTAGCAGTGGGTCGAGTTGTCATTTAGGAAAGGTTGCCTAATTACACATACTCCCATTGAGGAGCTTCCCAGGGAACTCCAGACCCTCAGAAAATGGTTTGTAAACCATTGTTTTACTATATCCTTTCTATTCATATCATGCACGAGCACTGTACTACTTTTACAAATTGCACAGAATCATCCCTGCACTCCTAAGAAAGAGTGGGGGGGTTTTCCTGCTCTGGTAAACTAAATAGTTGAGAATCTATTATAAAGATCAGAAAGGTCTGATTTTGGTACAATTTGCCAGTTCCATTACAGAGAGGTACAAAACTGTCTTTGGGGAGGGGGATGTTTTAACCCCACTGCAGGCAATTTTATTGAAAGTAATACTTCTATTGTACTATAAAGTGAAGTATTTCTTATCTCTCCTACATGCAAATCGTGTTCAATGTCTGGTGCAAAATCTGCTCATGTTCCTCGTTTCTGATTGCCTCTTCCACTGAACTTTCAGCACTGAACGTTTTAGAATTGAAAATGACAAAAAACACAAATAAGACTCTATCTAGACACAAACTTTGGAGCATAGCGGAAATCATCACTATCCCAGAAAGGCAATGAGTGTTTCAACATAGAATAAGTATTGTTCACAATACAAATTGCTCTGTTTTGCCAAGTAGCATGACCTCTGTCATCTAATTTGGATGGGATTTTTCTACTGCTAGCTATTCAGCTAGCCTGAATTAATAAAGAATTCCTAAGGTTACTTTTTTTTTAATACCATTCAATTAAACACCTACATTTCACAAGATTTTAATGTACTGTTGTTGATCTAGAATAATATAAAACATGATATGCTGCTCATTACAGCCTAGCAGGAGATTTTCTGCCAAAAAAAAAAAAAAAGTATGGGAACAAGGGCAGTATATGACATTGCAAAAGTTGCAAGATGCTAACTCTGTGGTGATACAAAACAATCACCACCTGAAGTCAAGAAAGAACTTTGTACTCACTGCTAATATAGTGTTCAATAAATATATATGTATCCCTACTAAGAATAAACTGGATGTATTCATAGCTAAGCATGTGCAGGAATTTAGACTGGGATAATTAAAGTTACACTTTTGGGCACATTGAATAATTCATAAAACCTTTTACAAAATCCCTCACCAAAACGTTTCGAGATGTGTGCTGTCATGGGTTAGGAATAAGAAACCAAGTATAGGAATTAATGAATAGTTTTCACCTTGAAGAAATACATAAAGTGGGGTTCACCACTGATCAACACTGGGAGGATATCTTTTTTGTAAAAAAAAAAAAAACGATCTGGATCTGTAGCATAGTCAAGATTGTCAATGATAAGCTACAAATTAAAAATGGCTTAAGGTAAGCAAGTGGAAAGTAATGTATGTGAACTCTGAAAACATTAGTAGGATAGAAGCTGGTAATTACTTGCCAGGAAAGAGATCTTAAGATTTACAGTGAAAAGCTCCATGATATGTGACCCCAGTTTGTGGTTGTGCTAAAAAAGGTACATTTCATGCCTGGAGTCCTTAGAATGGGAATTGCTGGAAAATGTGCAGAATGTGCAGAAAAGGACGGCCAAAACAGCTAAGGATCTAGAGTAGCTTCCCTGGAAAACTGGGGCTTTTCGGTTTTCCAAGGAAGATAAGGGAAGATATGATAGAATATAGAACCATGGTATTGAAAATAGGGATAAAGAGAATTTTTTCTTCCTATCTCACTGTTATTACTCAGAGTCATCCTCTGTGATTAGATGAAAGGAGATAAAAGGAAGTATTTCTCTCCTCAAGACCAAGCTGTACTGTGGACTGGATGCCATGAGATGTGGCAAGGAACACCAATTTAGAGAGTTTTACAGTGGGACTGGTGAATACAATGGAGGACTGGTCTCTCAATGAACACCAGTTCTGATGACTGTAAACTACCTTTCAGAGCATACTATTTAAATACCAGTTGCTAGGAAACAAAAGTGGAAGAGGACAACTGTCTTCCTGTACATGCTTGTGGGCTTCCTGAATGCGTCTGGTTAGCCGCTGTCTGACACACAATGGTGGAACAGAAGAGTTATTGGCTTCATCCAGTAGAGCTCTTACATTCTTAAATACAGATGAAATGCACAGAACAGGTAAAGCTCTAAGGCACATGTAGTAAGTAGAATAGAAGCAACTTCTTAATACCACAACTCTGGCAGCTGGTTAAACTGAAACTTACTCCAGATGATAATGGAGTGCTTTTAGTCCAGAGACACACAGATTCTAGAACATGACTTCAACCTGTTTTAAATGGGGAGCTGCTCTCCTGGAAGAATCAGGTTCTTGATTTAAAGATGCCCCAATGATGTTGGGTACACACTTATGGATCACGCTGTATACTTGCAAGGGCTGCACCACTTTCCATTTTGAATTCTAATCAGAATTCAAACCATTAGCAACCTGAAGGGTTAGAATTCTTTGAAGATCAAAATCTGATGGGGAAGCACTTTTCCTTCTTTCAACAGTGGTTAATGAATGTATGAGAAAAAAACTTTCCAGGTGACCTTACCTTCACTGTGGAACACATTATCCTGAGAAGATAAGTTTACATCTCCTTTTTAATGACTGCATTTGCCTTTTTAATTAAATTTTAATGTATTTTATTATTGGGTTGTTTGCTATCCAGGAGAATGTATAGACACAGGAAATGCAGCATACAAATCTCTCTCTATCTCCATACACACACAAAAACACAGACACACATTTTAAAAAATCAGATGTCCAGGTTATGGCAGCCCTAGTTACAACTATTCTGCTCACTACAGAAGGCCATGATGTAGAGTTGTAGGAGAATAATGTTGAGAAAACCAGGAATGCAGATTCCACTCCTAGCACTATAAATGAGTGCCCTACAAATAAGTAATATATGAATAGGGCTACAGTGAAAGTTGATTGCCTGAGGTCCAGACAGTCTTCAGACTTCTTCAAAGAAAATATGATTCCAGAACTTCAATTGACTAGATCTGCAAACAGATGCAAGTTACACAAAAGGTAATCTTTGGGTAGTTCTAAAACCCATTCTTCATATGTAAGCTGTGCAGTGCAGACAATCTGATGAGGCTTTATTCAATAGGCTGGTTATAATTAAATGGAAGACAATGAAAACTGTTGTTTATCTGTGTGTGGATTTTAAATAACTACTTATTAAGTTTGATTTCCTTTTCTTAATGAACCATCAGATTTTTAAGAATTTCTTTACTTCTCTGTGCATAATATTTTAGTAAGCGAAATCCATCAAGGCTTGCAAACTTTGAAATATATATAACTTTCAGTACTGGCTGATTCATAGTTGTGGTTCATAGTTGGATGTTGGAATAATACATGTATTAAAGTAATATTTGAGGGCAATCTTACTGTTATGCAAGCTATCCTAAATAAATATATCCCACTGGAATAGTCAAGTATATTTTATCAATACATGAAAGTGATCCCAAGGATGAATATTTTTTTCAAGTTTTATTGTCAGGCTTTTAAATTTTGATTTCAAATCAGAAAGAATAATCTAAAAGGTCCCAGTAATCAATACTACAAAAATAAGAACTATCCCCAGCTAATTTACATTTGCTTATGATTTTATTTGGCAACATCTTTCTCCAGTTTGAAGCAACAGAAGACCTACAATCAGTGATTACCATGGTCCGTACAAGCCCATGGTTCTGTCTCTTACCTGTAATCTGACTCTGTCCTTGTGGATTAAAAGGGCTTGGTGCAGAGTTCAGAGGGGGCCGTGGGCTCTGAGTCGGGACCCCTACTCTCATACTGGAATGAGGAATGCGCCCTAAATCACTGAGACGCTCAGAGAACAAACTAGGTTTAGAGTCATCAAGCTTCTGTCTGTGCCCTGGAAACAGCAAATCATAAAATAAAAGGGTGGTTAGCATGACAAGGTACTATTAAAGTGCTTTATTTATTATTGTGAGACCAAAGAAAATTTAGATTCAATCTGCAGCTGGTGCAGGGAGCAAAGTATGAACTACTTCACCCATTACAGCATTGGTACAAGGAAGGCACTTGTATTGCTATCCAGGCATATGATAAATCACTGCAGTCTTTATAGCAATTTATAGCAGAGCAATATTATTACAACTGATCATCTAAAAGCAGGAATTTTGTAATATGTAAAGCTTTCCTTGAATCTGCCACCTTGGATGCAATGATTATGAATTGATTGTGGAGAATATGTAGGAAGCACCAGCCAAGAATGAGGCATGAGAAAAATTGGGTGAATTATTCCACAGTGAGGTAGACTGACAGAGGAAGATAGAAAATTCCCAATTTGGTTGAAGCAAATAAAAAATAATTTCATAGTAATTACTCATTCAGACCTTTTGAAGGAGGAGGACCGTGTATTGTTGAGGGAAAGAATTTTAAAATCTGTCATTTACTATAGGCATCTCTGTGTGGGTGCTGTGTGTGTCAAAATATCAAGATGGCAGCTGCAACTGCATGATTACAGCCCCGCCCCCTTTTTTACATGCATGTGACATTGCACAGGCATAAGAAAGGGATAAGACTTTGATTGCATAGTCATAGCTGCCATCTTGACTTTTTTTTAACCTCATCTGTGGATTGCCCCGAATATAGCTGTTGGTCTCCACATTTCCTCTCAGCCTCATTTCAAACTTTGGTTTTCTGCGGTTGATTCTGTAGAACCTCTCATATTTTCTATTTCTATATTCATGTGAATAGTGTAGTCACTATCCATGACTTTTCAAAAATAAATTCATGGGAGACTTCTTCCAGATTATTGTGGGTAAGACTCCAGTCTTCTCTCTTTTATCAATTAATACATGGTGAGATGCATTTAATATTCCCCTCTCAGAGCCTCATTGGCCTCACCACCTGTATTGATGGTTTCCACGCATATGAAATACTGAACTAAGCAAATGCCTTTTTCCCAGGCTATTTTCTATTCTCTCCTAGATGGGCTAAGGTCACATTTTAGGTTTTATTTTTGTTTTTGGAATAGTTGGGGAACACTGTAGTAATATATCAAATTGAAAAAGGGTCAAATCAGATGTCCAACAACAGGTTATAATTTATCCTCAGTTGGGGCAAGAATGCTTCTCTTAAGGATTCCTGCCAATCAAGAACCAGTACTGTCACCTTCTTACCAAACCCTGAGTTCTCCCTCTTCCCCTCTGCACTTTTTTTTTCTTTCTGACAGAAATCCAACCATTTGTAAATATTCATCATATTCAATTCCAACTGGGTTTTGGGGTGGGGTTGAGGAAGTTTGCCCCTTCCGTTTTTTTTAATTGTTTTTCAGCAGATATCAGGTTGTCCTTCCTCCTCCTTCATAAAAAGTCTTATTTTGTTGTATTTCTATTGGCACTCACTACTTGAGATCACTTTTAGAGGTAGCAAAAGACTGTCACTGAATCAAAGTTCTCAGTGGCTTCTTGACTCTCCCCACATGTACCTGAACTGAAGAATGGTCTTAAATATAGCTTTCAACTACATTCCCTGAATCATCAGTTAAGCAATGCTGCAAATACAGGTAGTCCTTGCTTACCAACTGCTTGTTCAGCAACTGTTCAAAGTTATGATGGCACTGAAAAAGGAGACTGGTCAGTTCTTGAACTTGTGGCCACCACAGCATCCCACAGTCATGTGACCGTGATTTGGGTGCTTGGCAACCAGTGCACATTCATGATGGCTGCAGTGTCCCACAATCATGTGTTCACCATTTGTGACATTCACAGCCAGCTTCCAACAAGCAAAATCAATGAGGAAGCCAGCAGGAAATTCCAAGTTGTGGTCACATGATATCATGCTTAATGACTGTGGGTGTTTTACTTCATGGCCGCAGCCAGAATTGACATTGTAAGTTGGATGTGGTCACATGATGTTTCACTTTACAACTGTGTCACTTAGCAATGGAGTTGCCAGTCCCAATTGCAGTCAGTAAGTGAGAACTACCTGTACAACAATACTAGTAAGACTTACTAACAAGATTGCTAGTGCTACTGTATGAAAAATTAGTAATTTTTCAATACTTTTAAAAAATGTATTACTAATAGGAAAACTACTATAAATCAATTCACGGATATAATCAAGCATGAGTAACACTACCTATAACTTTCTACAACTGCATACCCTTCCCTTAAGTGCTACCTTGTCAAGAAACTAGGTAACTATGTAGCAAGCATCAAGGATGGAGAATGCCTGGTCCAGTATAACATCTCACCTGGATGCTAACCCCAGAACTGCAATACAGGAATCCCAAAGGCAGGTACATCGGAGATAAAAAAATATAAAGGCATCAGAACACCGATCAGTCTATCACAGCTGTTTTTCCTAAGCATCCTAAATTGAGATTCCTATTTGTATATATGTAAAATTAATTATTTTTAGTCCAGTGCGCATCAGTTTCTACTTAATTTCATATGTCGTTTTTGCCCTTCATCTACATTGTTTCTTCATCAGCAAAGCTCTTCTATCTCTAAAATTCTGTCTTTAATAAGGTTTCCTTCAAAATATTCAGCACAGACATCCAACTAACTGAACTTTAATCCCTCAGCAATACCTAGCACCATTTTTATTGAAAAAATCCAATGTTTACTATTTTTCAGTTATCTGATAATTAAGCTGTTTTATCTAACTTTCTATTTAAGTTCCATCAGCCACTTCACATTTTATATTTTCAAAAACTCAGTGAAGATCTGTTGTTTGAAAAATTGTTGAGTAGGCCTAGAATTTGTTCTCTGGAATTAACTGTTTCCCTTGATTTTGTAAATAAATATTGTTCAATTGCAGGTGTCTATCCTATGCAAAAAACCTGATTTAGCTTCCCAGCAATCTTCCTGTCCTGTTGCACCATATGATTTTGAGGGCTAAAGACAGCCCAGATTAGGACATATTCCAGTGGGTATCTTTTGGGGTAGGGGAGCTTGGGAAGAAGGGAGGTGGAAAGAGAAGATCTTAGTCTCAGACCACAAACAGCTTCTTCACAGATACCATCATTTGGGAATACAGTTCAGAGCTCATTTCTTGATCACTTATAAAGGATAGGGGGACATAAATAAGTAAGACCATTTTGAAGCCATAACCCTTTTGCTCTAGGAGCACAATATATGGCAAATGTACTGATTTGTGCAATTTGCACAAGTGTTACCTTCTTTCTTTGGGCCACTATCTGTGTCATGTAATGTGGATACTAGATCCATAATAAATATATTGAAGCCGGCAATTAGCTATATCCTCTGAATTGCATCTGACTGAATATTAAAACTATTGTTTACAGTTTATTGCTTTGTGAGATGATATAGTTTCAAAGTATCAGTTGCTTATACTATCTGTATTAAGAGATAGTATTGAATGAAATGGTTTAGGAAATGTTTTCGTGCAGAAAAATTAAGGTAAGTAATTAATACAGCTTGGCGTTAGAAGAGACCTTTCAAATAATTCTGGTGACTTAAAAAATTAATTTGGGTATCTCATTTTCCTAATAATTTAACTTATTTTCCCCTCAAATGCATATATAATAATTTATAATGATAGTCTAAAAAGTAAGTATAGCAAATGGTGAAACAGTATGATTTCTTAGTGGACTTTTAATAAAATAATAGCAGTTTGATTAATGATCTAAAACATCATTTAATTATGTTACATATCTTATCTGTGTAAAATAATTATTGCTCTTTCTCTATACTGACTTTTATTTGCAGTAATAATCTCTTCAATTTAAAGATGCAATTAAATAAAATGCTAATTCATATTAAATGCATTAATGTTATAATCAATACTATAATGTTACATTCTATTGTCTCTCTCCCTTGTACAACATAACGAATCCGCAGTAAAGCAGTGATGAAAATGTAGAGTTGCACATTTTTCTCAGGCAGACAGACAGACTGATAGATATTTAAAAAAAAAAAAAAAGACTTTTTAAAAGATGTCCTATAGAGGTGGCAGGCAAGGAGGAAAAAATAATTAAAATAGGGATGAAAATGACACCAACAAAGCTGGAGGGGAGCTTTGTTTTTTGGCGTGGGATAATGTCTTCCTTTGTAATACACATGCTAAACACATGGTTCAAATCTAATTTGGCAACAGTTAAAGGAACAGACCAAAAGATGCAATGGCAGAGTAAGCCTGCCGAGCTACTATTATATAAATGTTAAAAAGCTGCACAGTATGATGAAGACAAACCTTAAGATATATTAAAGAAACACTGGAGGTGATAGAGTCATAATGGGGTAAGCAAATAAGATATACATCATAAGGTACAAATGTTTTGTCTGAACAGATTATAGACTTCTCAAATTTTCACCATCAGCAGTCAGAGTAGCCTTTGAATTTCTAGAAAAATAGGAATTTATCATAGATAATATGGATTCTTTCAGGTGTCTATGGAATGGTTCACCCATGTTCATTGGGATATACATGAGTAGAAATATTCCCAAGATCCTATTTCTTCAATATATAGGGATTCAAACTTTTCTACATAATATCTTGCAAAAATCCCAGATGTTTTAACAGTCTC